AGCAACCATCATTGTCAAGTGTCGAACAGCCTAGCCGTTGACACCATAGCGATGTCGGCTTCCGTTTCTATATGGTGTCCCATGTAAAATCTATTTTTTTTTAAACTTTTTGTAACATTTTTCCTTTCCTTGTCGTATGATGACCGAGCTAACTGACCAACCAACACAACAAAAATCATTAGGTTAGATTAGGCTAAATAAATTTCTGGCCGCCTACCGGCGGCCGGCAATGCTGCGGCCGTCGTCGTATCTTCAAAGTTCTGAATAGGACACCCTATAGATAGTCAGGTTGGAATCCCCGCTGTGTCAACGGCTGTTCGACACTTGACGATGTCAGCTTACTACAGCGAAGACGGTTGTGTTAGTTACGTCTGTATAGGAAAAATTCTATGTATTGTACGAAAGTTGTTAATTAATATCTCGGAAACTAATAGGAAGCCGAAGATACCACTTTATATTTGGGGTCCCCTCCTCCCCCCCCCCCCCCCCCTTCCCCCTCAAAATTTCATCTTGATCGGCGACCAGTCGTATTCGTAACTTCATCCCAACTTATGCGTTAGTATGCGATCGCTGCTTTTCTACTGTTTCTATAGGCAACAGCACGGCGAACTGCGACCGATGACCAATACAGTGGTATGCAGAGATACATAGTACATACCTCGGTATACGTCTGCTTTGGAATACGTCCAATTCGGAATACGTCCTGTTTGGACGTGACAAATTTTGCTCGGGATACGATTTCTGTTCGGTATACGGCATACATTTTTTGTGTGAATTTTACGTCATTTTTAAATAAATATCTCAGAGGGAAAATTAAATGAATAATCAATTATATTCGGAGTTGATGTTTTATTAACTGACTGATCATATAAGTAAGGATATCATATAACAAAGTACATATAACCGTAAAACAGGAGGCAATAAAATTTATTCTATTTGGTTTGTTAATAAAGAATCTATCATTAGGTTACATTTATATTTTACAAATTAATTATGTTAAATAAACTAGTGAATATTTTTTGTAAACTTCTAGGAAATCGTTTAAATGCTGTTCATGATATAAACAGTGTTTAAATTATTTTACAACCTCATTAATGTAGGTATAGTATCAATAGGAGCTTTTTTTTATATGAGAACGGATTAATCTTTTTTATATTACTTCTTATCGCAAAGGTTGGTTTGGCATACGTCCTATTCGGTATGAGTCCAAACATCAGGAACGGATTAAGGTCGTATACCGAGGAACCACTGTATATACCTCATGTACTTCTGTTTTGCTGAATTCAACGTATCGTATATATATAATACAAAATGAAATAAAAATCGAATTTAACAATTTTAAATTCGGACTTGAGTGTGCCGGCTGCCTCGTGGGAGTCGGGGATTTAATTTAGCCTAACCTAACCTAATCTGACCTAATCTATCTAATCAGTGAATTAGGTTGGGTTAGGTTGGGTTAGAATAGTTGGCTGACGGCGATCAGACACAGGAGCTGAGATTCAAAATCATTGAAATTAGTTAAATTTGATTTTTAAGCCCACCCGTTATATGTATACAGTAAAAGCTAGGCACGTGCAAGAGAGATTGGGACCCAAACATTGCATATGTATGTACAAGAGAGGCGTATATCCAGCTAAGGCGAGGAGTCGATTTTGCGTCCGTACACATCGTTTATATCCAGCCGAGGTGTCGATTCTATGTTGTTTATTCTATTATTATTGTTTATTTACTGTGTTGCGGCACAACCTCATCTTTATCGTTAGCATGTAAATTACTTTAATTTTCAATAAGAAAAAACTATCTGGTTTGATGGAAATCACGGGTTTTTCCTAACATCATAAAGCACCTAATTTGCAGTCAATAGTTCCGCAGCATATTCTGAATAAATAAATAGATATAATTCAAACTACATATATCGTGTTTAGTATCATTTTAATAAAAAAATTCTTACAAACGCGTTAGGAAAAGTTTCATTAAAAAAAGGTCATAAATAAAAAAATTTTATCGTTGAATAAGAGCCCCCACAGACTGCAGACTTTCTATCGGCCGATGGTTTGATCGGGTTCTTAATCAGTATGAAGATGTATGCAAGTGTACATATTACAACGATTCGGTATCGGTCGATAAATAAGTTTGATGGGCTACACCAGGCCTGTCCAAGTAGGGGAATCCACTCCTGGAACACATGTTTCGGGCCCCCTTCCAACGCTGCTCCTTCAAGTAAGATGGGACAGTTCTGACTACCGTCTCTCCGTCTTTCCTAGCGGCGGTACTGTCTCCTCGGAGAGATGGTAGTCCGAACCGTCCCATCTTACTTGAAGGAGCAGCGTTGGAAGAGGACTCGAAACATGTGTTCCAGGAGTGGATTCCCCTACTTGGACAGGCCTGGGCTACACGATTGCATTCAAACTAAACTATCTACATACAAGCGGATATGTACTCGGTATTGAGGGCTTCCTCGTCAAGCATTTCGTGTGGAGGGGATAGCCACTTTGCACTTATCCAGGCAATCTTTTATTGTATTTTCGGCCGGTCCCCGTGCTGCTGCATGTAGAAACAGTAGAAAAGCGTCAACAATAGAAAAAACCCATACTAATGCGTACGTTGTCACGGTCGCACATGGATAGGCAGAATTCGATGCAATAGTTTCAACAATTTTTCGAAAATATTTCGAAAACTAAGGCCGAGCGGCGGTTATATGTATAGGAAAACGTTGTTCAAATTATTGATTTCTACAACATATTTAAAAATCAGCGAAATTGGAGGTGCCATCCGTAATCTAAATAATTATCTTGATTTTTCTCAAAGTGTCTCGTTAAAATGATTCATTTGTTATTCGTAACGTTCCACTGTGATTATTTTATCCAATGAAAGGAGCTTATAACAAAGTACCACCTTTTCATCTCACTAGACCCAGAAGAGTAACTTAAGTCCATGGATATTGTGGTTGTGTTTTGTTGCCGATGGAGACAATTTGTTGCGTGTAGAACTATGTAAATACATATTAAATAGGATACTAGAGAACAAATTAAACGCTGTTCATTATGATCTTCAGTGAACTGATATACATATGTATTATGTAAGTAGCACACCCTTTTCGCTGAGAAAAGAGCTGTGATTTGTACCATTTAGCAGTTACGTAGACCACCCTATATAGGATGTATTGTTAGTAAAGCTGTATCTTTAAAACGATTAGAGATAGAATACAATGTTACTGGAGAAAATTACGTAAGTAGTATTATGTCATTACGTTTATGTACTGACCTATATAATTCTTCCTTCATAAATCGATTCCTTGGATTATTCAACGTATCAAATTATGTATTGTGGTTATATGATCGTGAACTGAATATCTCTACATACATACATACATACATATAAACATATAAACATTTATACATATAAACCCCACTCTCTTATCTTTACGGCGGGGACGCTTTTACACATATCTTTTAGATTATAATAGATGTTCGGAAAGTCTATATTTTTTCACTATTATTTTCAAATATAAGGAATTATAATATAGGTACTGTCAGCAAGTACAATAAATTGTAAGAGTCTTTTCACATTGCCCGGTTCTCGTTGACCGGTTGAAAATAAATGTATGTATGTGTTTATATGTATACATACGAATAAGTGAATATACCGGCCGAAAATTGCAAAAAACAAAGACGGACTAATCCTAAACGTTTATTCTTTTGTTTTAAATATTGATCATTAATTGTTAATTTTCATTTGTTGATCTGTTTTCATAAATGGTAATTGTAACGCTTTACGGATGGGATACTTTCTATTCCCAAAAAATGCCCGGAAATGGAGAAAGATAAAGAAAAAATCAACCTGTCCGTTAAGTGTTAAAGTACATAATCTTTTTATTGTTTGAAATTAGAAATATTTATTTACAATAACCAGAGGGGATAGTTAATTATAATAGTTTGATTAAAATATTTACGATTATGATTATGGTTATGATTATAATAGACGATCGATAAGTTCGAATAAATATCATACAAAAGTGTTGTACAATTTTCTGTTCGAATTTTAAACGTTTCTCTAGATATATCATATACTGTTCACAATGGTGTTGGGTAATGAAAATGACTACTTAAGTGGATATAAGCAAAATTCCGTCACCGAATGGTTACAGAAAACAGGACAAACAAAAAATAATGGTAATTTTCCGGATGAATGCATACTTCCTCCATTTATTGTAGGAATACTATTACATTACGATGAAAAAGTGTTATAGTTCATGACAATAAGTTAATTGTGAATCGTTATTTACAATACATCAAATTTAATTGAATATTGTAATTTATGATTATTGAAATTTAAAATCTATGCTAGAAACATACATATTAACACGGCCGAGCCTAATTGGATAGAGCTACCAGAGAAAAGAAAATACTGCAAATACTTATGCACGATTTGAATAACAATTTGTCAGTTTATAGTTAGAGTAATTGAAGACAGGAATAATGACATGTCAAATTCGTGTCCAAAAATTCTAAAAGGACAATCTTTCATGCAGGAAAGACAAAAATATTAATATCAAGATGAATTTGGAAACAATATTTTTATCATTAAATATTATACAATTTAATACATAAATTAAATGAAACTTTATATTCTAAAATTTAAGAATTTGGATGTTAAAATTTTTAAATTTATATTTTGGGATTTTAAAACTTTTGAATTCAATTTATTTATAAAGCCTGGTAACTCTCGAACATTATAGTCAGTGACAGGGCCTCTGTTCTCTTATGGAAGCCTACCATGTTCGGTACTGTAGCATTGAAAATTTCTTAAAACTATTATACGTATTCCTCTATTGATAATGGATCAGCTTCGGTTTTGATCCAAGGTCAGCTAATAAAGTAATATTTTATTTATATTAGAAAATACACTTTGTCCATATTTACATAAATTAAAAGATAATTTAGCCTAAATACACGTATACTACTTTTCAGATTAAAAAAAAAATTAAATTTTTGTTACAGGAAGTGAAAGCCCAGTTTTTGGATTAGAAGGTAGTGGAGTAGCTACAGGTGGAACCTCCCTCAGACTAACATCTCACGAATTACCTAATGAGATTTCAGCTCCTTACGAAGTTCCACAATTTCCAATTGAACAAATTGAAAAGAAGCTCTTAATCCAAAGACAGTTGACCGTCAAGTAAGTAATGTTATTTTTTATGCATACAATAATTATATGGGCTCTGTATCGAAAGAGCGTGGTTCGGAACAAATCAGATAGATCGTAAATTCAATTGTAGACGACACAACGGTACTTGACACGTTCGAGCCTACTTGAGTAAATCTACCTTTATTAGAAAGGTGTCTATTTTTAAGAAATCATAAAATTCTTCGAACATTGAGATATTCGTATAGTCGTATATAATATAGGCTTTCTTCCATTTGAAGAGAAGTGTAAAAGAAGAACCTAACCACTGTCCTTATTCATCCTTGTTCTTTACGTACGAAGATAGGAGAGTGGGCGGTTGTAACTAACAATAAGATAGATTCTCTTTAGGCTCCTCTTAGGTTTTTCTAAAATTGAAAACAAAAGTAGACTCCTCTCTTCACCTTTATCCTTACTGTTAGCCAAAGGCAGCTTACATTGCATGTGGATGTATATGTATAGTCACATGCAATTTAGGCTTTTTTCTTAATTAAGAGGAAAGGTAGGGGATGGAGTATTTAAATTACGCTCTCTTTGGATTCTTCTGTGGCTATCCCTAGGTTCTCTTTAGGTTCTCTCGAAATTAAAAACAAATAGTAAAAATCTTCTTTCCCTACCTTTGCTCTTACAAGGAGAACTACCCAAGTGTTACACTCACTTATTAATGAAACTTTGCCAGCTTGTAGAGCTCGTCGAGCTGAACACGCCTATACCCCGTTTTGTGGGCAGACGGCTAATTGTTTAAAAGATATTAATAATGTAATTAATACTTACATTGAGAAGTATGACAGACTCACACATACAACTCGCAATCTAGAGATCCACGGTTCAAATCCTTGGTTCCCAACATTTTTTTTTAATGATAATTTGTCTCTTTTTGAATAACTATTACATAAAAATTATCATAAAAAAAAAAATTTTTTTTTGGGAACCAAGGATTTGAACCGAGGACTTTGAAATTGCAAGTCACGGATCTGCTCCGTGGTTAAACACATAACTCGTAATCTAAAGGGCCTCGGTTCAAATCCTGGGTTCCCGTTTTTTTCTTTTTTTTTTTTTTTGTTTTTTTTTTAATGATAATTTTTATGTAATAGTTATTCAAAAAGAGACAAATTATCATTAAAAAAAAAACCTGTTGGGAACCAAGGATTTGAACCGTGGATCTCAAGATTGCGAATTGTATGTGTAAGTTTCTCATACTTCAGAATGTAAGGAGTAACTAACTGTAATTGTTAATATCTTTTAAATAATTAGTCGTCTGCCCACAAAACTGGGTATAGGCGTGTTCAGCTCGACGAGCTGTACAAGCTGGCAAAGTTTCATTAATAAGTGAGTGTAACACTTGGGTAGCTCCCCTTGTTAGTCAAAGGAAGCTTACGTTGCACCCAAGTGTACAATGGCGAGCAACTGAAGCTTCTTCTAGTTAAGAGAAAATGTAGGGAACGGACTGTGTAGGTTGCATTCGTTGTAGGCAAAACTGAAAGCAATTGGGAGGAGATTTCTTTTTCGACTTTCACCACTAGGCCGCGTTTACATTGAATGAGTAACTGGGCCCGATAGATTTTGTTAGTATTTAAGAGCGGGAAAAAGAAGAAAACTATCCAGAGACGAGGCTTTTTTTGCCCTTAAGAAAAGCCGGTGCCAAAGCCGGCTATTTGCCCACTGTCAATTCGTTCTTATTCGATTGTCGAATAGCGTCAGTACCGATTGATATCATTGTCTTTAGAAACACCGTCAGTCGTATTACAGTATTGCCTCGAAATAAGCAACTCGCTCGGGACCGAACAGTGGCTTATTACGAAGCAGGTATGCTACATCGTCGATCGCAGGGATGCTACGAATGAGAGATCGTCAAGATACGTCACTCGTAGAAACGAATGAGAGATCCGAGGTAGCGGTAAACGGACCTCACTTTGTGGGCCACTTCAAACAAAGAAGACGGGATAGTGAATTGCTTATTTTGAAGCAGAGATCATTTGCTTATTTCGAGGCAATACTGTATTTTTTAATGGCGTTTCGTGGCCGAGCTGCACCTGTTATCCTGGGCTTGAACCTGTTAAACGGTGATAAATGACCTTGAAAGACCAACATATGTATATATTATAGAGAGTTGGAAAGATTGCGCACAGGACGGCGTGAGGTCAAGAGGTATCCCCCCCCTCCCACACGTACACTGAGTCCCATCGAAGTTGTCGCAGTGAAGTTGGCTACACATTCACTAACACTTCACACCGCGTGGCGTGAATGTGTTAGTGCGACAACTTCACTGCGACAACTTCGATGGAACTCATTGTCAGTGTATGTATATATTACTCGTTTTCTAGTTTTACACGAGTTTAATTAGTTTGTAGATGCGACTGTTGCGACCAATAATACGTTTCAGCCAAAACTTCGCGTGGGCTGATGTGGGACATGACCAATCAGACCTGCACGCCTGTTGTACGAACTTTTTTCAGCTTCCTATAAGTAGTAAATTCGTCTGAGAATAGACTAAGCTTCTCGCTGAACGAGAATACATGGCTCTACATACAAGATCCCTTGCCCAACTTACAACGGGTCAGTTTTGAACCAAGGTTATGTATACAGGGTGTCCGCGTTTAAGTGTGACAGTCGCATTATTTCATAACTATTAATGACACAAAAAATTATTTATAAATTCATATTCGTGACTCCTTCCATACAAAATCGCCATTTTTCAGAATTTTGAGGGTTTTTGATTTTTTACAGCTCGGGTTTTCAATCGAAAAATCTGCAAAGGTATTGTAATATCTGTCTCATGAATAGAAATATTTCTGATTTTTCTCAGAATCTTTCCTGCACAAATATAGGAGAAATCGACCAAGAATGTGTGTTTTACATTTTTGCCCATTACCACCTATCCAGATGAGATACAGGGCTGAAACTTGGCACAGACTATTTTTTTCTTGATAAGCCATCGAATGAGCCATCGCAAGTCGAATTTAGTTTGGGAGGTATTTTTGACCATATTAACTGGCTATTAGTTAGATTTCTTGTTTTAAATCGCAGAAAATATTTTGGCGCTTTGATCGAAATATACACATATGAATTATTCGCGAGATAAAGAATAATTATACTTATTTATTTACTTATTGTACTTTTCTAGTTCTTGTTGTTTTCAATTTAAAAATAACTGTGTATGGGACGCCATATTTAATGTTAACATTAATGAAGAAAGCATTAATTAGAAATCAGTATCCTAAATTAATTACATGTGTATGTACTATCTATAATTTCTCAAAGATTGTAGCTTAGCATTTGCTAATTATAGCAAATGCCTAGCACGTAAATATCATTATCACACAAACATAAGAATCGAGTGTGTGAACCATATATGTATATACATGTTACAGTAAATGTAATAAACTGGTAATTATGTATAATTGCTGGTTATTATATACATATAATCACCACTAAATTTGGTAAATGTAATATATTATTGAATATTTATCAAATTAACCGGCGAGTTTATATAATTCCCAACTCGTAACGGTCAGTGTGATAAATATCTTGACTGATTGAGCCAGTAGAATACAGCGCAGTTTTTTGAGTAGTTACTAGTCAGAAGGATAGTTTTTCGTTGGACACTATGGCGCGAGAGATTAAAACCATACATAGATGTGATAGGTTAGGTTAGGTTATATATTTAAATCCGACCGCCTTACAAAATTACATATTTATATTAAAATAACCATCTGTCTTATAGTTTTGTCAGAGTGTGTACTTATAGTACCAAACATGGTAGGCTTCCGTAGCTCGTAGACACGCGTCACAATGTAGGAGTAGAAGATCCAATCAAAATCCACATTTTGAAGATATTAATAATAAGTTCCATTTAGGATAAATTTGTACAATGCTTAATTATTAAATATTACAAAATTTAACATATACAGGTTTTTAAATTGCGAAGTTGCAAAACTCAAATTTAAAAAATTTTTAATTTAGTTTAATTTAATTTAATTTCAAAATTTTTTAATTTTAACAATTATTTTCCAAAATACGCTTCGCACGTCCATGGATGTACTTCTCCTAAATATGAATATCATAATTATTATACGTTTTATTTTCAAAATTGTATCCAGAAAACGTGGATTATTCTTTCGTGTATTACTACTATTAATTTCACTAGTGATGCTAGTGGCGCTGTAATTGACTTTTAATCCTTAATGGTGAGGTGGTGTCTGAAGTCTGAAGAGCAACGAAATTTTTAAATAAACGACAATCGAATGTATATTTGATTTTCTCTTATAGGATATTTTCAACTTTGAATAAATGAAATAATCGGGATAAGTCATACCTTTCCTCACCAGTTAAGAATTAAGTAAACGTTTACACATGAGTGTTTTTTGGCAAACTTACTATGCTCCAAAAGTCTGAATAGGATCCAAAAACAGGCGGAAATATTGCAAAATAAATAATAGCAGTCATTTAATTTTATAAATTATTTAAACATTAATATAATTTGGTAAGAACCATTTATGTAGGAGATATGGTAAAGATTGCACTGTTAGAGGTCTTTAGAAGCGATGATAATATTAAAATGTATTTTAGTAGAAAATTACGTCGATAGGGAAATAGTATTGTATAAGTGTATTTATGCGTAATCTGACGATGTACATATGTATACAGTATACAGTAAGGAGAAGGGGTTGTTTGCGACTATCCCTCGCACAATGGTTCGTTTAGTAGTTGGGTAACCATCGTGGTGGCCAGAGCAACTTGGTATGCATCGTACGAGACGTCAATTATTTTCTATCCTGAACGATACATGTTCGCGTGCGATTATATTATGATCGTCAAATAAGCTGTACCATAGCCTTTAGTGACATTACGAGTAGTAATCTTTGAGGTCAAGTTATGTGAGTTGGTTATATCAAATGACAACAATTTTACTCTACTCAAACGAATTGTGTCGATTGTGCTGTAATATTCTCTTTCGCTACACGAACAGAGCACCTAATAAATTTGAAAGAGAA